TATATATATATATATATATATATATATATATATATATATATATATATATATATATATATATATATATATATATATGGGTGGGTGTGTATTATTCATACACTCTCATCTTATACATTAATTTTCACTTCTTTAAAAAAGAATTCGAAAGACGTAGGTACAAAAGAAGAACTAAAGGGGAAAAAGGGGAAAAAATCGAGAGGATGAATCCCCCAAATACGATAATCTGGATCAGTTGAATTTGTCAAAAACTCAAAGACAGACTCCCTGAATGACCCTGAATGTTGATTAGAATCTTTCTAGGTTTATGAAAATTATTATTACTGTAAAATGTTACAAATGTTCAATGTTTGTAAAAATACCCTGGTTCAAAGTAGCTTTTCCGACCACACTTGAGTTAAATTTGTTCATTTAAAGCCCATTTCCTTTTCTTCAGATGTAATTTTATTTAGGAGTGGTGAAAATCCTTCCACCTATATACATGTATATAAATTGCAAGCTAAGAGTTTCGTTGTAGGGACGTAGTACTGTAATACTTTTAGTGACATTGGCGTAGGACATTAAGAGGTAATCCCGAAAGGTCAAAGGTTATTGTAATGAGAACTGGAAAAGACGGGATTAAGGATATACAATTTCCTGTCTAATAAAACATACAAAAGGGAAGTTTTGTGCATGTGTTGTGTTTGCGAAACAATTTAGTCTATACAATTTTTGGCTAATGATGACTGTGTTTTGATGCGTTAATTCATGTCTAATAAAACAGCAAAGAAACACATCTTTTTAAAAAATGTATGCAAATGTTGTACTCCTTTAAGCACTAAAAAAGTACGTACTTTTCGAATCAGATTCTCAGAGGGGAAAAACAAAACAAAAGAAAAATTAAAAGAAACCCAAACAAACAAGCACAAAAAAAATCACACTTTTAAGTAAGTATATGTTATTGGTGTTTGTGGTGGAAGAGCTGTTCAGTTTTACAAATAAGTGAGTAAATAAGATGGTAGACCTTTTTTTTTTATATGTTGAGTTTATAGATGTAAGTCTGGTCATGGGTTTCATGTCTTTGCAATTTATCTGTTTATTTATTTGTGCTGTGTTATATTTAGAACATTTTTCTCTCTTTTTTGTGTTGGCAAATATCATGTAAAAATTTACACTAAGACAATGTTTCATTCAACGGTAAACTCAAAATTTATGATGTTTATGTATATCACAAGTAAGCCGAGGTCTGCATCCTTCGAAAGAGAACTTAAGGGAAAATGACTTTCCGCTCATTAATTAATATGTTTTTTTTCTGGTAAAGATGGCAATTACTTTAACAGAAAATAAAAAGCAAAATGAATATCAGGCAATTTCGTAAGTCGTTGTTGTCCCCCACTTTCGCGAAAGCAAGGGGGCATTAAATCTCATTCGTCTGTCAGTCTGTCCGCCTGTCAGTCTGTCCTTCTGCAAGTCTGTCTGTCACAAAAACTTTAACCTTGGTCATAACTTTAGAATGAAAAGAGATAGGGCTTCATATTTCACACGTACATTACCTGTGACAAGACCTTTCCAAATATACTACGTTTTTTGACCACGTGACCTTGACCTTGAAGATTGACCTATTTTTCAAAAAATTTATCTTTGCTTATAATTTTTGATTGAGAAAAGATAGGGCTTTCATATTTGACATGTGCATTACCTGTGATGTTTTCGGGCATGTCATGATATTTTTTTTTACCCTTTTACCTTGATCTTCAAGTTTGATCTAATGTTCAAAAATTTAATTTTGGTGATTACTTTTGAATGACATATGATAGGGCGTTCATATTTGACAAGTGCATTACCTGTGTCAATTTTTTTTCCGAATGCGCTATGATATTTGACCCCGTGACACTGACCTTCAAGTTTGACCTAATTTTGAAACATTTTATCGGTGTTGCTAAATTTTTGAAGGAGCGAAGATAGGGCATTCATATTTGACACTTGTAATACCCGTGACAAGCATTTCCAAATGTACTATGATTTTTAAACCCATGACCTTGAAGTTTGACCTAATTATCAAAAAATTTAACATTGCTGCTAACTTTAGATTGAGAGAAGATATGGCATTTATATTTGATATGCATTACCTGTTTCAAGATTGCATACTCTGGTTCTTGATATTTTTTTTTTCACATGTGCATTACGAGAGGTGATCAAAAAGTTCGCGAACTAATTGAATTACTTTCATAAAAGAAATTTTAAAAAGTTTCATTGTTCATTATTTTTACAGTAGTCTTCTCCGATTTTAATGCACATCTACCACCGTTCTGCCCATGCGCAGTCACGTGATCCAGGCGGTCACATGCTCCGTAGCATTCTGTTCACAGAATCAAAAGAAAATTCCAGTCTTATATTTCTTACCATGCAAGTTATTTTTTATAACAAAAACAGTCCATTTGTCACAAATAGTCAAATATCGGCTACAGGGTTGGTGGATAAGGATATCCTTTCCCAAAATGAGCATGGTGACCATCACAACCCGAATCCTCTGTCTTGGGAGCGTCGTTTAGGACCAACAGCAAAGCAACTAGATGCGATCTCGTTGTTAGTGAGTCTTCCGTCCGATTTTGATAAGATAAGAATTTGACTGAGATTTTCGTTCATGAATAATGGTATAGAAAAATTCTTAAGACGTACGGTTTTGCTTCAGTGATGTATTCTAAAATATTGATCATTAAAAGAGTTATAGATTAAACACTTTTGACCTCTCTCGGCACCTTATTTGAGGAGTCAACCCCCCCCCCCCCTTTTTATATCACCTTAAAACTCTCATGATTTTGAACATTTTTTGTTCAACTATTCAGAAATTCTTTTTTCGTTTTTATAGATTAAACACTTTTGACCTCTCTCGGCACCTTATTTGAGGAGTCAACCCCCCCCCCCCCTTTTTATATCACCTTAAAACTCTCATGATTTTGAACATTTTTTGTTCAACTATTCAGAAATTCTTTTTTCGTTTCCGAGACGATTGCTTACCAAAATAAAACTGCTACAGAAGACAATACTCAGCCCCCCCCCCCTTTTGAGATATAAAGTGTCAAAGATTTAGCATTCTGGTCCCTTATGGTACCTAATTACCAAACAGATGATAAAGAATTATAATATATTGTTGTAGATTAATAACATAAACACTTTTGCTTCCGTTATGTATTTTAGAGTTACTGAACTTATATTGGTGAATATTGGCACGAACTGGCTGTACAAATGCACGGGCTTGCAATATAAGTTCAATAACCCCTTTATCATATAGCTAAAACATCTCCCATTGATTTATATTATTTCAATTAAATAACTCAAATTAATAAGAATTTTCAGTATCGGTATTTAAATTAACGTCTGTCCTGAAAGTGTTCATCCAATGACCCTACCAAGCTTATTGAGGTTTTATTTAGGTTAATAATACAAAATTATTAATTAATTATTTCAATTTTTTGTGAAAATAAACACATCTTACCTAGCTGCCACTACCTATCGTAAAGGTTGACAAGACGGCATTTTTTGTTGCGTTCGATATTGAACGCTCGTATTCGGATTGTTTCGGGCATATACGTAATACAAACTCAGCGTTCTATAAATGCCGATATATTGAACGCTAAAATTCTCTAGACTTTCAGTAATTTTTTTTATTATAGACTATTTATTAGCTATATGATAAAACAAAATATTGATCGAAAAAGAGTTATTAATGAAAAAGGAAAAATTTCGATATCTTAATTGCGCTATATTTGAATCTAAAATTAATACACATATATACACGATTTCAGTGTAATATATACTATGCAAACGATTACTGGTTTTGCATGTTCTGTTGCAAGTTAGCCTAAAAGTTGTGTAGGACCGTTAATCTGAAGCAGTTCTTGACAAACACATAACACAAGGTTTCTAGGACGTATAAATATTAGGACAATATTCCTAGAATTAGCACTCCAGTAGTTGCAAACCTGCTACGATGCAAAATAGAACATCTAATTTGCGAGACTTAAAACAGTAAGTTTTCTAAGGTAAGAGTTTAGATACCCCGAGGCAGGATAGTCATGCATAGTGTTAATCCATATAACAATATACATAGAAAGTCATTGAAAAATTACCTAAATGCATACGATTTTACCGGCAGATAAAATAGTATTCGTACAATTAAGGCGTCTGCACTTTACTCATATAAATAAAATTTTCAATCAAAATGAACAAAAGAACACAGCAAAGAATAAAAACTATATTTTAATGACAAAAGAATTGAAGAAAAACAAAGGGTCCATTGGTTTCAACGCTCACCCGAGTTACCTTGCTGTTCTTAAGAAAAAGAATTAAAAAAAAAAACCCATATATTTCTATGTTAAACTTTGACTTCCACCCTACCCTCGGGGCATGATTGAATAAATTAAATCTTCATTTGATAGTTTTCACATAATGTCTATCTTTTCTGGTCTGGTGGTCCTTAAGAGGAAGAATTTTAAAGATCTCAGTGGATTTTGTCTATCTCTTAATTATCTTTCTTGGAAAGAAATTGTGATTCTTCATTTTGAACAAAGTTGAATCCCTTTTGGCCAAGGATGCTTTTCAGCACTTTGATGAAATTGGTAGAGTGGTTCTGGGGGAAAAGGTGAAAATGTGAATAGTTTACAGACAACACAGTACAGAGGACACCTGACACTCTCTGACATGAAAAGCTTACTTAAGCCTTTGGCTCAGTTGAGCTAAACATGGAAAAACATTTTTTAAAAAAAACAATACATGTACTTAGTTTTAAAAAAAATACACAGGAATGAAAAGCGTATATATCATATAACGTTATGGATTTAACAAGCTTATTATCGAGTGTCACAAAGTCTTTAAATATGACGTGAATGTTGCAGATTCTCTACCAAAGCAAACGGAAATATACAAAAATGAAGTCAGAAAACTTCAGGGAGAAATACTCTTTGCTTACTTTAGAATTATTTGCAATTTTATCACAATTTTCAAAAAGAACACGACGAATAAAATTAATTTCAATCAAATATACTATATATACCCATTTTTATATACATGATTACATGTATATACATATAAATATCAAAATTTGAGACAAATCATCGCTGAAGATGAAAACTTTGAAAAAAAAGAACTTATTTTGTCAATTTTCGAGTTATCTCCTTTAGCAGATGGTCGTGCATCCTTATGAATAGAAATTCCCCCAGAAATGCGCTATAATTTATAGGTCAAGGCTGGTCATATCCTGCGCTGTATGGGGATGGGGCGACCTCAGGGTTATATCCTGCGTTGTACGAGGAGGGTGCAGGCATCGAGTTCATCATCGTCTGTTGAGAGGCAACCACTGTCGTACCACCTAAAATTTGTCCATTTCGATGGTTAAAATTTAATTATATATAGACGGACATTTTTATTGAATCAATAAGATCAAATTGATAAAAGGAAGAAGAGGTGCAGAGAATCGCTTAATTATAGTAAAAAATATCAGCATATAGGAACATTGACTGATAATATTTATGAATGCAAATAACGAAGAAATGAAAAAAATATGTAAAATAAAAAAAAAATTGGAAATGAAAAAGGGTGAAGATAGAGAACAGTGATCGATCTCATAAAAACTGTAAACAATACAAATATGAGAACAGGAAAACACGGACCCCAGGTAATTCCAGAGGTGGGATCATGTGCTTAAGAGGAGTAAGTATCCCCTCTTGACCGGTCACAACCGTCGTGAACCCTATGTATTGATCAAGTAGACAGAAGATTCCGTAGTCATATTTAATACAAAAACAAAGACCTAACAATTGGTATGAAACAAGTCAGCTAAAATACGACCCATTGATAGATTATATTTGCTAATAAGGTCATTATAACGACCATAGAATTTAGGAATGCTGACTTTTAACGAGGTTGTTGAAATTCCTGCAACATCAACTTATGTGTGAGTAACCTGCCTCAAAATGAATGAATTTAAAGTAGGAAAGGTAATCAAAAACGGGCTTGGGAACACTTCTTCAACTGAGTTATACTTATTTTACCTGTTTGTGGCCCATGAATGATGACCGTTCCTCTACCCCTGCCCCTGCAACAGCAGATACAGCAACCCACGCAGAGCACCACAACACCGATAACCACTAAGATAGGTACCCACCTACAGGGCCAAAAAAGTACAGCATTAAGGAGGGAATCTTCTCATAATTATTGTATTTAAAAATTATTGAAATTTTTAGAGATTCAAGAAGACAAGAAAAAAGTGACGGTATCAATTAGAGTAAAATTGACCGTTTTATTTCAGGAGCAAGGTCAGATCGATGTCATTTTCTTTTTTCCTTGACATTTTGAATAAAAAATTACTGTTGCCAATCATATAATGCCTACGAATGCAAATTAAGTGTAACGTTCAAAATGTCATAGTGGTCCAACATCTCACCTACCGTTGAGTATCTCACCAATTTTTTCTTTGTATAGATCTAATATCAGAAACAATTTTTACAAGTATAGCAATAGAAAATATACACACACACACACACCCTCTCACACACACACACACACACACACACACACACATATATATATATATATATATATATATATATATATATATATATATATATATATATATATATATATATATATTCTGAAAGGATACGCTTACACAAAATCACTGAACCATGCAGCACAGAACGGAAGTCGATCTTCTTCTGGCGCATGTAAGTAGCTCTCACTGCAGCAGTAAGTTGACCCCAGTGTTTTGCAGCAGTAATCACTGCACCACGTTTCTTTGGTATTACTGTTCAGAAGGCTGTAAATTTTGCAGCATTCGCCACATTCTATTTGTCCTATAACAGAAATAGTAGCTTCTGTAACTGTACTTTACCATTGTTTCAAAGTCTCTGACAAAAAAAAAAAAATACTTTAGCACTAAGTAACCCACTGAAAGCGCTCTCCATTTTCTCTAGAATTTTTTTTTATTAATTTGTAAATGAAACTTCTTTCAAGAAACAACTGCAGTGTCGTTCAATAAAATACAGAGTTCAATGACAAATCATGTAGACAAATACTATGTTGAAATCAAATTTTAACAGATGAATATCTTCTTTCTCTGTGCACAGTGGACACAAGGACTTAAAATACACTATAAGACCACAGATCAACACAATTTATTTGTAAAAGGATTATAACGTTTACATTCAAAATTATTAACCCGGAGATTCATCCCCTCCCAAGGGCGGTTTCTTAGAAAACAAAAAGTGTTATTATTATTAGCAGTAGAACAACCTCGTGTCAGTTTATTAATTCTGCTTGGAAAGGGAAGGGCAAAAATAACCCATTACATTTTTACATCTTAATTTTTGAAAATCTCCAGCTTTATCCTGTCCACTCCCTTCTGGGAAAATAGGTCTTACTTTCATTTTCTTTTCTTCTCTCATAATGTTTGTTCAGGAAAATTTAGGTCGTCAAGTAACCCACAACCAATGTTTTATTTGACAGACTCTGTACATCACCCCAAAGGCTAAATACTAGTATGTTAAATTTATAAATGTTTGAAATACCCAAACGAGTTAATAGAATATTCAGTTTTACACAGTATTTTTCCGACTTGTGTAGGCCTATGTGTAACTGACTAAAAATCGAACATTATAATTATACTATTTTCTTGTAAAAAGAAAAGATTAACAAAAGCAAACTGAAATGATTTTATCGCTTCTTATGTTTGACACTTAGCAGATAAAGACTGTAAAGGCACAGAGAAAATGTTATCAAGGATAAACTATAAAATAGGTCTATATCGTTAAAAAAAAATCTTATTCGTGAATCTAATTACTATAGCAACTTTTTCAGCCCAACTCTTCAGCAGTGGACAGTGTATCGATGTTGACAGAAAATGAGGGAGGCGGAGAAAAAGGAAGACAGTAACAAAACTCTATTCTCACAAAGTGGAGAACAATGAACAACAAATACAAATGAAAATGCGCATTGCGTTGCAGAGTTATGTAAGCCCATTTAGGACCTGTCAAAAATGTTTTTGAATTCGGTATGACGAATTGTCGAAATTCGTTATATCAATTTCTTTAAATTCGTTAAAACGAATTTGATCTGTTATAACACATTTGTAGAATTTGTTAAAACAAATTCAGAAATTTGTTATAAGGAATTAAACTCCTTTTAACGAATTCTAAATCGTTTGATTATAACGATTAAATTCGTTTAAACGAATTCTTTTATTTATCATAAGGAATTAAATTCGTTTTAACAAATACAACAATCCGTTATATTGAATTCATATATATTTTACTATAGGTCCTTGTTGAATTTGATTAAACGAATTTAATTTGTTATAACAAATTTTAAAATTCGTTAAAACGAATTTAATCTGTTCTAACAAATTTTTGAGTTCGTTATAACGAGTTCTACAAATTCGTTATGACAAAATTTAAATCGTTATAACGAATTCAACAAATTTGTTATAACAAATTTAATTCGGTATAACGAATTCAAAAAAATGTTATAATGAATTTAAATCGTTAAAACAAATTCGACAATTTGTTATATCGAATTCAAAAAAAAATTTCGATAGGTCCTAAATAAGGCTTCTAAAATGGGATTCTCTTTGTGTACATTTGGGTTCACAATATAATAATTAGGTAGATATAATGACACTGCTTGTTTTAAAATCAGTATGATTGAATAAATAATTAAACTCATCACCAATTTATTTACAATTACATGTACATTGTTTGCATAATCTTAATTCTCTAGGAATTCCTAGCCATCCTAATCATCTCTCTGTTTCAACAGGGAGCCAAGCAATACCCCTACATTTACAAAAACCCTTAAGGATGACAGAAATGGAATGCTATAAAGTACAATATGTTACATCAAAAAATTGTTCTAAATGGACAAAATAACCATGTTATAACTAAATATCAATTTAAAAATTTAATATTTTATGATTTGAAGAAAATATGCAAGAACAAAAGTTAGTTTATGGTGATACAGAGGAAATTCGGACTAAATTTTAAAATTTTGTAATTTACTTCACCTTTTCCCTTGCAATATTATTCAAAAAGTTAGGAATCTGTGTGTTTTTAACAGCATTTTGCAAATATTATGTGTGTTAAATCCAATGTATAATTTCAAATAGTATAATGACATGCAATGAATTCATAATTTTAAAAAATATGAATAAAAACCATTCCAGACAACATATCTAAAGAATTTGATCGTTAACCTCATACAATTTTAATACTAGCATAATACCGGCCCAAAAAAAAAGTAAACTGAGGCCTTAAATTGTTCAGAATTCTTATCATTTAGAATAGTACATGTATATTAAAAATGGTTAAAAATTATAAAATTGACAGAGGAAATACGGACTGATATAATTAAGAAGTTTATAGTTCAAAGTGTTTATTTACACAAAGCAAAACTATTCCATTTATATTATATTTCATTACCCAAAGTGTTTTGTTACTTGTTATATGTTGTTAATAAAGAAAATATTGGTCATAGTGTAAAAAATTGCGGTATTTTCCGAGAAATACCCAGGGCCACTAACATGAAAAGACCTAGTGATTTGAAAGTGAATAATAACTCTACAACCATAGGTCTACTATGGGTGGTTTTTCATTTTTATCAGTGGAGGGTTTTTTTTTCTTTCTGTTTTTTGTTGGGGTTTTTTTGGCCCTCTGAGTAAACTCCATCTTTAAGAAATTTCACTGGTAAAATATCAGAAATATTTTTCAAAGGATAATATACTCTTAAATATTCTATAATCAGGCACGTAGTACCATAACGTAAGTTTCTATTATAATATCCGTGTTCAAAGAAACTCTAAAGAAAGAAAAAAAAATACTGGTTGCAAAGGACTATAGGACAGTGCGATAATGATTGATCATTTCTATTCTTGGTCCGTTATATCTACCGGGTTTACTACATAATATTTCCTTAATCAAACTAAATTTAAAAAAAATACACACACACACACAAAGGACAGTTTTGTACATTTGTTGTGTTTATGGCTTAAAATATTCACTTTAACAATTTAGTCTATACAATTCTTTGCTACTGGTGGTTTTGTCGTAATGACGCATTGCATGTCTAACAAATCACAAAAAAACTTCCTTTAAAAAATATTACTTGTACATCTGTTGCACTCCTTTAATTATAGCATAATTTTCACAAAATGAAAAAATAAAGGGTAAAAAAAAAAGAGAAACGAATGAGTTAAACAACATTTTTTGGTAAACACCTGTTGTCAGTACACATGGTTCTAAAGAGTTTGTTCACTCGCTGTTGATTTTTACAAATATCTGAGTACATGTAAACGAGACCCTTACAATATTTTTTCTCCCTAAAACGCATCAAAATATTATTTTCCTGAATTAAGCGTAATCCCTTTCACAGTATTTTCTGCATGTTAACACTTTTCACAAGAAATAGTAAAGTAGGAGTGATGAAGGTAGCGAGGAGGGTATATAAGAAAGTACTAGTACTGAAAACAATAGTCACAGATGGAAGTACTGGTAAGTGTGTCTTTTTGTCTTGCGTTCTTCTCAGAGAATACACCAAAGATGTTTCCATCCAGATGCTTGAGGACAACAGGGAGAATTTTGAGAAATGGAGAGGAACGGGAAGCAATTCATTGAAGTTATTTGGTTAAAGTTTTCAAAGGAATAAAGTTCCTGATTTGCTCTATGATGTCATCATACATTCGTATGACCATACAAAATGCAAGAGTTGACAATTGAATGAGCTTCTTGACTAGCAGCAAACAGTGAGAATTTTGGTATAAGTAGTTGTTGCACAGTGGCTTGTAAAGAAAACAAATCAGAAAAAATTGTACCTGGGAGAAAAAAAATAACAAGTCCTTGTTGTTTTTCTGACATTGTTTTCCTACACAAGCCCTTGTGGTAGCTGTTCACGTTCTAGCTCTTTAGCTGAAGTACCGAATATACTCGCCTATAAGTCGGTCTGCCTGTAAGTCAGTTGTATTTTTTAAAGCTTACATTAAATGGATTGACCCGCTATAATACCAATATTTTTTATAAGTCGCCTATAAGTCGGACAAGGGTTTTTGGACCAAAGTTTAACTCCCAAAAAAAAACGACTTAAAGGCGAGTATATAAAGTTATACTTACTAGGATTCCTTTTTAAAATAAAAAAAAAAAAAATTCACTGTCCTATTCGTTTAAATTGCAAGAGAAGGCGCATACAGACCGATAAAAATGAGCGAAGCATTTCAGAACAGAAAGGTGGCCGTATTTAGAGATTGAAGTCGCATACAAAGTCATAATAAAGAGGCTGATATGTCAAATTTACTGCCTGATAAATACAGTATAACTCTTAATATTTTTATTTGGAAAATTTGAACTGAGTTACTTATTTGCTGCGTGCCATTGTCTTTTTTTTCTTTTTCCGGCTCTCTCTCTCTTTTTTTTTTAATTTTCTAATTTTATAAAGCGCCACCATAATACTGGGTATCGTTTAATTAACAGTCCAGATATTGGTATGTTTTACTGTAAGTAATGTTTTCATTTTTGACATTATCGGATACATGCTAAAGAAGATTGTCGAACAAGGCGAGCAAAATGCCAATTGTGTGACAAACAGAAAGCGAAAAATTAAACCTCAATTATGACAAAATTTTCTTGGATATTTCGTTTAACATCAACTTATACTTTATGTAACTTTCCCATAAATTGCAACAATCTCACAAAAATTGAAATTATTCGTTTAAGAAATATCATACATACACCAAATGAAAAATGATCAATTCCTCATACTAAAACAACTTTCCATATGAGTGAGTTTTCGCTCCATTTTTTTGAAAGATATACTCATAGTATGCGTTAAGATATATACACTCTTCCGTTAACAAAAACATGAAGCAAAGACCCACTTTACCTTTTAAATACACTTTTATGACACAACATTGGCATCTTTCCGAGAAATGCTCACTTTTCCAAGGCACCTAATCCCACCTCTAAAGAGCCATAGCTGCCTTGTCGACGACACGGCCGACTCAAGAATTTTAAAGGAAATCACCAGTTTCTATTTATAGATATACTTTTTCAATTCAAAATCAAACTATGTTATATGATTTGAGGACGAGTGTTATATTTCCATAGTTGCAAGTATGTCAAATTACAATAATTTTACTTGTTCAATATCTACTCTAATTCTGAGACCAGAGATTTAGAAAATCAATAAAAGTAAAACAAGTAGCTATGAATTTGCAAACTTTAATTAGATAGTTTTGGACTGTCTTTTCCCGAGATACTTTTTAAGTGTAATGTGTAAATTATAACTTTCTGAACTTATGTATATTATAAAACATAACAAAGGAAAACGTAGAAAAGATACACAAAGAAAAAAAATTAAAAAGCATAAATGGGAAAATTGGGGGCTCGAACTCACAATCATCATATTTACATTCCAGCAATAATACCTCTGCGCCAACGAAGTCAATGATATTGATAGGAGGAATATAAGACAGATTGCTAAATCTTACGAATATATGAGAAGAAAAATTGAACATATATTTTCCTCATTTTCAATATGAAGACCACTTTTAACCAAAATTATCTAAATGTAATGAAGTGCAGTCATATCCAAATAAAATTATTCAAAAGTTGTTTTTCTGGTTAAGGGTGGTCTTTGGCAACAGTTTATCATCGCTAGTTGGATGCCCCAATATTTACTATATACTCCATACAAACTGGATAATTTTCATATTTATTATATGAGGAAATTATGAATATTGAAATATCATTATCGTGTGATTTGGTTTTACGCATATATAAACTAAGATTGTATGACAAAATTTTGGTTAAACAACGTATTTAAGAAATCAATAGTAGAGTAGGCGAAAATGCCTATCAAATGCGCTATGGCTCTTTTGAGGTCCGTGTTTGCTCTGCTTCAAATTTGTATTGTTTCATTGGACTTTCGAAATTGAATACTGTTTGTTATCTTCATATTTCATTGAAGTCCAAAAAAAGGGTCATATCACAAACATAATTTAAATGCCTGTAATTGTTAAGAGCGGTACAGCGTAGAGATTAGCGTGCTAGTCTCGAAGAGAACATTGATATTCAGGATTTTTATTGCTTGGGTTCGAACCCCATGAATACCACTTTTTTTAAGTCATAGAAGGATTCTGCCGAATGAACTTTCAGTAGAAAATTTGTGTTCGTCATAATTTCATATCTTTCAATGAAAAGAACTTTACTCTAAATACTAAAATATCAAAATGACTTTTATACATTTGAAGCTGAAGGCATTTTGCACGCCTTGTTCGCTCATCTACTTAATTTACCCCATGACAATGTTTCACTCAGTGGTAAACTCAAAATATATATGAAATAACTAAGCATGAGCTGCACGTTTCAAAAGAGAACTAAAGTGGAAGATTTCTGCTCACTAAAGTGGAATTTTTCTTTACATTTTTTTTCTGTTAAGATGCCAATTTTCTAACAGAAAATGGAAATGAAACTGACAATCGGTCAAATTGGAATACCACACGGACAAATTGTATGCAGGAAACAGAGACGTTTTAGAGTAAGCTCTCTTGGCAAGAGGGTCACTCCTCCTTAATAAACTTCTCCAATCAGAATCATACATGTATATCTTTCTTTGGGCTAGTTGATAAGGATTACAATTATCTATATAACAACCATGCATTTTGGAAAACTCACAGTCGGTTTTAATGTTTCTCTTACTTCTTAGGTACTTAGTAAGCAAAATCATACAGGTATTGGGTAACAGAAACGAGACCGTACGTTAGTTTACAACAGATGCTGAAATCGATTTTTACTCTTCCAACACTAACCCATGAAAATGTTTTTTTTTTAATCTGATGGACTGGAAACAAATACTTGATAATTATAATTTTTTTAAATTTGCTTCACCGCCATGGAGAGCATTTGTGCCATATTTGGCGATTTGTTCTGAACTTGTTCAATAGAAGGAAACTACATGTATTTTGCATCAGAAGTACATATTAGGAATGTCATCGCCCTAGCACGCATATTTTCTAGTCTAGGACTTTATAGAAAAACAAACAAGAAACTCTCAGCAACATCAAAGAAACTAATCACAACACACAAACGTAAAAAAAAATTTCAGGTATGATGTTATCGATAAGTCATTTACACAGTTATGCAAAGTGTTCTGAACAACAAAATAACTTAGGCCATCGGACACAGTATCAAAGTTCTGTTGCTTGACGTGCCCAGCCATTTTTCACGTTGTACTGTTGGCTTATATCTTTGTGCTTATATTTGTGATTCGTAGTTTTACATAAACAAAGCATCATTCTTTGCTTTATCCTATTACGTAATTTTTAGTCATACACCAGTTTTCAATTTGAAAGGAACAAGGAAGTATAATGCCCTTCATTTTTAAAAAAAAACTTTATATGTAGATCTGTTGGCATCTCTCTCTCTCTCTCATTCTATTTGCGTATTCCAGTTCAAATCAGCACTAAACTAAAACACCCATATGTTTATTAAAACATATCTTACAAACATTAACACACGTGTACGTGTAAAATGCTAGTCACTTAGTAACTACATAGAAAACCCAGCATCCATATGTACAAAGGATCGATGAGGGAAAAAACAAAACTGGAGCAAGCTCTATAATTATCGGCAATGAGAATGTAGGTATTATTAACTTACCTATCATACAGATTATCGTAACAGCAAAGAGACACAAGTACGACTGCGAATCCATGTTCCTTGTTTGTTTGCTATGGAATGGAGAAATGCTTATCTATAGGTGCATCCGGTGGATTATCATATCGAGGCTCTATATAAATTTGAAAATTTAATTTGTTTTATTTGAATTATAATGCTCAAACAAAAGATATCCTGAAAAAATTTATTCCACAGGGTGTCTATACTTTTTTATTTATTGTGTAAGAAATTGTGCTACGGACAGGTATTTAAGGTATAAGTATTTATCAATGTTTCTTGTCACTGAATAAAAGCTTGAACCCAGATAGCATAGGTACGTTGGACAAACGTTAATAAATGGTTGCACAGTTGACTGATGGTTGGCGTTGGATAGAAAACGTTGGACCAATGTTACCTTGCCAATCCTCCCTTTTGTACCCAACCATATTTGGATTCTTACGCTGACCCAACGTTAGTTCGGCGTCAACCAATAGTTGTTTCCTATACATGTATTTTACAAGGAAGTTGATCTTGGACCAACGTGCAAACGCGATAATTCCTCATAGAAAAGAGGGAATTGGGAATGACATATCTTCTGCCATCTAGATAATAAGTCAGGCGAGTATGATTAATATCTTGTGCAAATGACATATTAAATCTTGCAAAAGACTAAAAATATCATACAAATGAGATCATAAGTCAAAAATCTTATGCAAATGAGATAATAAATCGTTTGAACGAAGTATCTGGTGCGAACAACATAACAAGTCTGCAAACAGATTATTAAGTCATGCAAATGACATAATAAGCTGTGGGAATCAGATAATATCAGTGAACAACCTGATAAGTTGTGCGACAACATTGTATCGTGTGCAAACGAGATAATTACATGTTCATATCTAAGAAGGAAAAAAGTATTTGCATGTTCAAAATATGTCACATTAGAGTTGTTCCATATTTTTTACTTACGCCTGCTACACTTTTGGGGTATAGGCCACCTACAAGGTGGGACTGCATTGATATTACTGTTGAAAATCTAAATATTAGTTTTGAGAGTAAGATCTTTAGCTCCCTAGACTTTTTATCAACTGCATTTGCTTTTCCAATCCTGGCCTTGACATTGACATATATTCCTCTCTCCTGGTCCATTATACTCCCTAAGTATACGAAGGTCTCTACTTCTTCCAGGTGCTCTTCTTCAAATTTTATTACTTCAGCATCAACAGTATTGGTTTTTAGGACTTTTTGTCTTTTTCTTGTTGATTGTAACCCCAGTTTATACAGAAGTTCTGCTGTTTGTTTATATTATTCTACATTTGTTTTTTTGTATGAGATAGTAGAGTTAAGTCCAGATCTTCTGACTGGCATCTTTGTTTCTGTTTTGGCTGTTTTCATAATTCAGTTTACCATCAGTAAGATCAGAAATGGCGAAAAAGCTGTTGTGACACAGAAAAGGTCTGTTAGTTGGCCGCCCTGTTTGATCCATCTACGCGGAAAACAGCTTTATGATTCTTAGCTGAGTGTCAACCTCATCCTTCATCCTATTCAGCATTATCATACAGAATCCCTTCTCTTCGACTGAAAAAAGCGCAATCCCTATAGTTTTAACCGTTCCTTAGATCTCTTGTTCTGAGCAGCTTAACGAGATGGATGTCCCTCTTCCCAGTCCGAGGATACTTGCTCTTCTTCCGATATTCATTTAAACGGGGGAAGGGGAGAGTAAAAGCATATGTTCTGTTGTTTCTACGTCTGTCTTGAGTATCTCAGCAGGAATATTATCAAGTCCAATTGATTTACCATTCTTTAGATGCTTTCTAGCGCTATTATTTCCTCGTAAGTAGGTTCACTACATTAAATATATACATGCAAGTCTTCTGTAGCTGAAAGTATGATATATGGGTTAGTAGTTCTTAACGTTATCTTTTACTCCACTTCTTTATCCTTTATTTCTATATCCTTCAAGCATCCAATATTATTCTTGATACTAGTACATCTGGAAGTTGTACCTGTCCAAGTTGACTAAAATTTCAGTTTAAAACGGGTTAGACATGTAACTAGATTTGTGATATGAAGCTACATCTGCCCCTCTTCTTACATGATTGGTTAGTAGTAAATTAAAAATTTTCCAGAACTCGCCAAATTGGCGAATATTTTAAATTGACTCTGCGATCGTCGGATTCTGGACATTTTAACATTTTAAAAAAAAATTCTGAAAAAGCAAAAAAGAAATTTAAAAGATAAGGAAATTATTTTTAACAATGGACATGTCATGTTTTCTTAGTCACGTCATGGGTCCCTATGTTGATGAATATTAACTTTTAAAGTTGGCGCCTTAAAAAAAAATTGCCCGGCGACTAAAAATTTGCATTGGCGACTAAATGTTTTTGATAAAGCGCCAGCTGGCGCCTAAATTTTAGAGGCCACTTAGAGGCCTGAAAAGTTAAGATTTTTTTTTTTGCTTATGCATACATTGTCTATTTGATTTCCTGTTTTATGATTTCGTTCTGGTTATGTCTGGTTTCGTTCTAGAATACTTGTCGTTAGGTACTTATTCATTCATGAGTTGTACAAAGTACATGTATAACGAAATGATACTGGCAGACGCGTCCCAAGTATAAAAAAAGGCGTCAATCTTTTGAGTCTATAACGGACACAGACTCAAAGATTTCAATTGATGTTCTTCGGATAATCCTCCGGGATAGTATAATTTGTCATATGTGCAGTCTTCAGAGTTCCAGTTTTGGTATAAAACCAACAGTACGTACAAAAAAAATTGAAGGAATGTAAAGTTGCTATTATTAAAGATATAATTGAAGAATCCCTTTCTGATCCCATGTCATCTATTTCCAAATGTCTGTCAAAACTGTAAAACCTGTGATGTTCTGATTACAAACTGTTCTTTTACTAGTAATCTTACCAAAGAAAGCTTCTATATCAAAACTTGGGGAAAATCTGAACAGCAAATCTACGGAATGGAATGTACCCTATGTGGGCTTATTTATGTTGGTGAAAACCAAGGCTTCATTTAATAAAAGAATATCGGGGCATTTATTTCAAACTTCTCTACAAGTACTTTAATTTACCTGATCATTCTATTTTGTCAATGAAAGAATTCTAGAAAAGATTTACCATCATACTAATAGCCCATCATTGATTGCACCTTTCCGTAGACAACGAGAAAAATACTGGATTAGGAAACTGGGCATGGTCTTTCCATATGAAAGCAATGACAATGTCGGTAGTGTTGGGAATCTTTAAAGTCCACAGTGTGGGAATGTGAATCTGATGGGACTTTTTAACAATACACAGAGACGTAAGCGTAATCATAGACACCGCTCTTACTATAAACTTATTATACACGTTGTCACTTTTGACTCACTACTACCTTATGTAAATAAACAGTTAGGTCTTCATCACATTCGCACCAATCTTTACCTGTCCCTTTGAAAATTTAAAATGGTTTTAAAATGGTCTATTTGAGAAGGGCTAGGAAAGTCCTTATTTGGATTCTTTGACATCAGAATACAGGCTTTGATCTTTGATTATGGATATTGCAAATCATAGGTTTTTTAACCAACAGTTTTATCGGAGGAGAATACTGTCCAAGTAACCCGTTTTTTTTTTCTTTAAATCAATTTGCCAGCAAGGTAATTGATGCCGTAAATATTAGTAATATTCTTAATCACAAAAGGCCCAGTCCTATGGAACGCCAAATTAACATATATTCAAATGTTTGTACCTATCATCAAATATTTGTAGCTATTTTCAAATCAATTGTACCTATCTTCAAATCAATTGTACCTATCTGCAAATTAATTGAAGATAGGTTTAACTGAATTATACCTATCTATAATTCATTTGAAAATAAGTACAACTGTTTTGAAGATAGGTATAATTTAATTGAAAATAGATACAAATACTAAGAATTAAAGATAGATATACTTTTTTTCCGCGAGTACTCATTATCGCGAAATAGCTCTTTAACGTCAAATCGCGAGAGCAATAATTTGCGAGTGGACGGTTGATCAAGATATTTCACATTGATTTCAGCACCATAAAAATCAAAGCGAGTATTTTTATTTCGCGATAGGTGCTTCTGGCGAAATTACGCCATAATTAATTCCTTGCGTATATTTAGGAATCTACAGTTATTAATTCAAAGATAGGTGGAATTGAATTGAACCTGGGTATTATTGATTTATACCCATCTTCAAATCCTTTGTGGAGATGTTTTAATTGTACCTATCTTTAATTAAATTGTAACGATCTTGAAATAAATTGATCCTCTCTTCAAATGATTTATAGTTAGGTATAATACAATTGAACCTCTACAGTACCTAGATATCCAATATCTGAAGCATAATCCTCCTACGCGTTCACGGTCTTCTTCACCCTACAACTTTAAAAGTCCTGCTGGACACGTCATTATTGGTGACGTAAATTAATTAATAATGAGGACCATAAATCACTTATTCTAAAAGGGCCAAAATTTTGGGAACCCCAATCTTTCAACTGACGTCATTATTTCATAAATATTATGAATTCTGTGGAAGATTACGTCAGGCGATGGGCCAAACATTAAAAAGAAGACCTTGAACTTTGTCCAAATGGATTAAAAGTATCAGATGGATGTTGAAATCTCGCATTCAGCGACTGGGAGGGCAATATGTAAACCATCTATCCTTCTGTCTTCAGTAATTCAGAAGTGAAAAAAAAAAGAATTAGATAGATTACACGATCAATATATATATGTACTGGTCCAAGCTGACAAAGCAGGTAACAACATTTTCTTTGTTTATAAGGCTCGTTAATTGTATTCTATAGAAACTTGGATTTAATTTTGTTGTATTGAATAGTGTATTTATTGCTCCCTTTCTAAAGAGGAAACTCTTCAAAATCATGTTTTAATTATTTTTAATATTCCCAACAATCAAATTGAACTTGAATTATCATACTATACTGAATTCCTAAACTAAGTTATTTACACACTGAATTATCGACGGATTTTTTCGTTTTTACCTGATCATGACAAGGAGCACACGGCGGGTGTGACCGGTCGGCAGGGGATGCTCACTCCTCCATGGCACCTGATCCCAC